CCTGTAGTTAAATCAGAAGCGTGGGTCTTCCCTGTAGCCTTTACGAGTTATCTCGTGTGGCGCTTGAACATTTTACCAGGACTTTGTTGCTTGAAATGAGCATGACACTTACGTTGTTTGGCAGTCCCGGTTGTGAAGTATTTATGAAAATGTTCAGAGCTCTTTTTTCCTGTTTTTTTGCTTTTTTTTTTAATGTGCAGAAGGTAGGCTGTATTTATAAATTTTTCTGTGTTAAAAATGCCTTTGGGAGATCCTTCCAGATTTCTGGTGGAAGTAGCCTTGCTTCCTGGAGTGCTGCTTGTTAATTGTTTTGAGCAGGTTTCTGGCTGTTGTACCAGCCACAAGTAGATGAGGCAATTAGCACGTCCAGTCTGAGGCTTGTAGCTCTTTCGAATTCCTTTCGATTTTGTGTACATCTATCTGAAGTAGTCGCTGAGCTATATTTCACTGTTCAAAGTATGATGAAGGTGCTGCTGAATTCTCTGTGGTATTCATATAGAAATATGTGTGAGAAGTGCTTGAACCTATCTGTCCTTTGCCCAAGTATTCCTGAAACAAAGGTGAAAAAGAAGTGTTTTTTATCTCCTAGTCTTAAAACTATTTTTTTCCCCCACTTCATGTTTAAATAGCAGAAGTAGCACTTTGTATATTTGTACTGAGGACTGTTTTTTTTTTTTTTTCCCCAAAGGATGTTTTACAGAACACCTACTCACTTAGGACATTTTTCCAGTGCAAGCATGTGTGGTGCTCACATTATTATACAACTTGATGATTTTTCAGTTACTGACAAGTGCTGAACTAGAATAATTGTGCAATAAATTTGAGCCTTGTCATAGTTCGTTTGTTCATTCTCTCTTTATTTATTCTCAGAGGTCTAATCTTACCTCTGCAGTTGTACATGCAAATTCAGGAAAATCTGAACCAGTTTACTTCTCTGTCCTGTTAGCATATGGGAAAAGAAGCCTTAAAAATTTTAATAGTCTTCTTGGTGCCTGTATATATATAGTGAATAATTTCTTTATTCAGAGTTTAAAGTCTGTGTTGTTTTCCCAGCTGAAATTTTCTCTTCGTAGCCTCTGCTCTCCTTTGAATTTCTGTACGTACAACTAACTAGTTCTGTGAAGTGAGTGCTGCACTTACCTTCAGTCTCACTGATCTGTCATTGAGTTGGTGATTTTTTTCCTATTTGCATGACATTTACATATTTGCTTTACATTTCAGTACTCCACAAAGCCTAAGTTCCTTATCTGACTGTCTTTAGACATATGAGAGGGGGGGAAAAAAATCTTGAAGCTGTTTCACTGGAAATATTTTATAGCACTTAGGATTGGAGAGCTGCAGAGAGCTCAAAACTATCATGATCTGTTTGCAATTCTTGGAAGTGTACTACAGTCATCCCAAATCAGAGGCAAATGAGTGATTTTTGCTATGACTTTTCAAATCATATTCCATTCTGCCTGCCTATGCTTCTTAGAGTAATGTCTTGATGCTCACAGTAATTTGTAAATATTTACTTCAGAAAACACAGATGCACACACACAGTAGGGTGGGGGGAAAAATACATTTGTAAGTAGCAATATCTAAGCTTATAGATGATGATGATGATAAACTTCTTGTACTGTTTTTTTGATGTTATTGATATTTAAATTGAAAAAGTCACTATGGCGAGGAATTTTATCGAGGCTTTGGGCAAGGATCAGCTTAATGAGTTTTAGAGAACTTGTCAGAAATCTGGGTGTTCTGAATTTATTCTGTGTAAAAGCTAGTAAACTTTTCAGGTCTGCTTTAAGTTACTTTTAAGATGGATTAGTTAGCTCAGTAACCTGCTAGGTTTATGTTCTTGTTACTACTAAAATTACATCTCTGTGTTACTGTCTTTTCATCAGATGACGGGATCAAACGAATTCAAACTAAATCAAACTCCGGATGATGGTATTTCCTCAGTAAAGTTTAGTCCAAATACGTCTCAGTTTCTGCTTGTTTCATCCTGGGACACAACTGTCCGGCTCTACGATGTTCCTGCCAACACCATGAGACTCAAGTATCAGCATTCAGGAGCTGTTCTTGACTGTGCTTTTTATGTAAGTGTATGAGGTGTAGGGTTTTAATTATTACCCCAAGGTGCATGAGAAATTGTTCGTCTCTGAAATTAAAGTGATAGTGAAATCCTACCTGAATTCTAGGTTTAAGAAAACCCCAGCTTACTTCTGCCAATTATTCTTTTAATGAATGTTGTTCTAGTCCTAAATATAGGTGTTTGCTGGGAGGGGTGCAGGCACACAAGTAATTTACCTCTGACAGAAGTGGTAGGCAAAAGTAATTTGAGCTGGTTTGTGCTCCTTCTGCGATGGAATAGTAAATTGTGTGCGTGTTTTCTTACAAAGAGTCGTGGTGGTAGTATATAGCCAAAAATCGTTATTCACAGTAAATGCCCATGGGCAATTATTCTTTTCCTTTTAACCTTCTCATACCAGTTTGTTTTGGAAACACGGCATTGTTCCAAGTGAGCAGTTTACTAGATACTTGATTTCTGTATTTTTAATGCACTGGATTTGAACTATGAATGGTTTAACTTGGTGCCACTTTTTTGTCTTTTTTTTTTTTTTTTTAATAGAAGGATTCTGTGAGCATATTCTTTTATTTTGCACTGTATTCTGGCATGTCCTCCAGTGACTTAATGTGTTACTGAACGTTTTAGGGATCAGCTTAAATTTTTACTTCTGCTTGTCTATTTTTTTTTTCACTGAACGTTTTGTCACACATCTAATACTGTACTGTGGATCAACACACAGGTTTTTAAGTGGTTTCTGGTTTCCAAATTGATTTTAGAAGGAGTACATTTCAACTAGGTGGAGCTGGTTTAGCTTGGTGGTCATTGAAAAATAAGCATTGTTTGTGTTGCTATTTCAGAAATAGAAATGGTTTGATATACCCTAACTGCTTTTGTTCCTTTTTATTTTTAAATTAAAAAAAATAAGAATTGTACAGTGCAAAGCGCTTTACTTAAACATTTTGCCTGTTTAGATCTGAACTGTATCTTAACTCTTGTGTCTTGGTTCCTCTCTTTGCAAAACTCTTGAAAGCGAGTCCTGTGTTAGGAGCCTAGGAGATTAAATATATAGCAGACAGGGAAATTTAATGTGTGTCAGAAGTTGATATTTTTTGCTTTATAGGATCCTACCCATGCCTGGAGCGGAGGATTAGATCAGCAGTTGAAAATGCACGACTTGAACACGGACCAGGGTAAGCAGATTGAAGTCTTGACAACTGGTCTAAGCTTCAGATTTATATACTTACCTGAGTGGAATATGTTTCAGTTTTTTTAGTTGGGGAGGGGAATATTTGCTTTAAGTAGTAGCTTCTATTGATTTAAGTGGTCAGCATTAGTGCTCAGCAGTCTCCTTCGCTGTGCAGCCCTTTCTTGTCACCGAGGTGCTGCGCAAGGCAGCGCTTCCTGTGGTGCAACTGAAGATTGTGCTGCAACACCTCCAGCAGAAACGCTGAATCCCTCGCTGACAAACTGAGAGTTTAAGCTTTTCCCGTGGTGAATATTCATCAATGTATTTTATGTGTGTATTTCTATTTTATTAATTGAAGGTGAAAACGGAAGGCAATAGCTATGCGCTTGTCACACTGACCGTTTGATGTTCGCATCATGTGTACCTTTGTTTAGCAGAATAACTCATGGCCCTAATAAGTTCCACCTAAAAGCATGGAAGCATTTGGCAGTTTGCCTAAAAAGTTTGGTAGATTCTTGTTTTAGGACGCATTGAATGGGATTTCTGATGATAATCCTGCTCTGCCATAGGCTACCGTGTCCCACTTAGGGGGAATTAGCTAAGCTGAAGCAAAACTAAGCATGTGATTCTTCAAAGGTTTGTGGTTTAGAGATCTTTAGAATGATATTTGGTGCGTATGACAGAGTTTATGTAAAGCTTTTGCTTTGTCAGACATCATGGCCTTATAATTTTTTTTTCCTCTAACAAAACATTGCTTGAAAGTAACAATTCCAGTGCCTCATTGGTGCAAAATATGAAGCTAGTTTGTATAACTTTTGTTTTGTGTCTTGTAAAGAGAAAAATGAATCTCAGCCCAAGACAAATGTAACCACCGGGACCAGCCGATAGCCAGGGCTCGACAAACTTGTGTACACAGTAATGTAATGAAAAAGGTCAAGTAATTCTGTTGTATATGACTTTCTACAACTATTTTTATTAATATTTTTATTAACGTGTACTATTAATTCTTTTGTCATATGCAAGCTGAAGTAATTTTTTTGTGTTAGTGCTCGCATCAAAGGTGGTGCCATCAGTAAGGAGACCATACTGAGGACTTCTTTATACCTCTGAAGATCTCTTGGTGGCTGCCTAAAATCTTAAAACTTCCTTTTATAATCTCAGGAGACAGAAGTTTAAATTTAGCCATCCAGATCTTTTGAACAGTTATGCTTCTGAAGACTGAACTATCCGTAGAGGAACTCGTAGCACATCAGTACACCCACAGGGATGTCAGAAAATAGCATGTTGATACTGTAGTAGTGTGTCTTTTTTTTTATTTCTTTTTATTCAACACATTCTGACTGTTTATAGAGCCAGTCAAGTTACAGTATATTGTCTTTTACAGAGAACCTTGTTGGTGCCCACGATGCTCCTATCAGGTGTGTTGAGTATTGCCCAGAAGTGAATGTCATGGTGACTGGAAGCTGGGATCAAACAGTTAAACTGTGGGATCCCAGAACTCCTTGTAACGCAGGAACCTTCTCTCAACCTGAAAAGGTACGTGCTGGGTGCTGTATGCCAGCTGAGGTATTAAAGAATATATCCAGTGACTGGTTAAATATCACCGTGCAGGATACTGTCTTGAGCTGAATCGAAGCTGAAAAGTTGTGTTTAGTGGATTTTTTTTTTTTTAAGCTCTAAAAATATTGCATTTTAAAATCTGTGGGGTGTTTTATGACTTTAGGTTAAGGCTTTGAGCTCCTGGCAGTAGGGGAGCGTAACTTAATTCTCAGCACTCCTTGTAGACCAAATTCTTATTTAAAACACACTTAGGAAGGAAAACCTAGCAAAGAGAGCATGTGGAATTGACTCCTTGGCTTCATTGTAATGTGTACTGTCGATTTCTGTAAACGTTACGGCTTTTATAGACATCAGATCCTGACTGTCGTGAGGTCTGATTGTTTCGAAACGCGCATAGAGGAAGAGTAGGAGGCCACATACATTGCTTAAAATAATAATTTGTTTTTTCACTTGTATTAAAAGAACTGCTTGTGTTGTAATTTACCTGTCATATTAATGCCTGGTAAATTCACACATTCTCCTAATACTGTAATTGTCTATGCTAATGAGAGACCAAGAGAAATAAGGTAAAATGTTACATTTTAAGCTTTTTCTAATGGTTATATGGTATGTGAATCTTTATACTGCTTACAGTGATGTCATTGAAAGAATGATAGAACAGTTATTTTAGCCTTTTTTTTTTTTATAGCCTCCTAAATGGAAGCTGGTTTGCTGGAAAGTTTTGCATATTAATATTTTTTTTTCCTATACCTTCTTAAAATTTCATTGAGCTCTGTCACATTGTATTGTCAAGTCATAATTGTGAGCCATCATTACGTTCCCTATCACATCTAAATAGCTATTACTTTTGTTACAACATAGCCGAATCTACTCCTGGCGAAACCTTTGTTCAGAGTAAAGTAATTGCATTATTTCTAGTTTTGATTTATAGTTGTATGTAGCATGTAAAGAACTGTGATAAATTGCTGACAGAATATCATGTAATGGACAGCCACAGTGAATCAAGCTGCTTATTGGTTCAGCGAGGTTCATTATGTCACTTTTTTTTAATGCTGCCTTTGATAAATGTGTACACCTGCTCAACTGCATGACAATAGTTTCATTTGATTTATGTTTCTCTGGTGTAGAAGGAATACTCACTGTACAGGTGTGACATCGGTTTGCAAAGAAGAGTGAAGATATTTAATATTCTTTATGCCTTTATGTGTACAAACATGTTATATAAAGTGCTTATTAATATTTTTGAATCAATTGTTCCATCAATACCAAAGGGAGGTTTGAAAAACTTTCAAAGTGTGTAGCTACTGTTGACTCAAAGTTTTCTTGCTCTTGTTATATGTAGGTGGGATTTGGCAGTTGGGATCATGAGAAATTTTAGGCAACTCCTATCTGAACGTTTAAGACATTTCCCATCCTAAGACTTCAGTCTTGAGAGGGAAGTTTAGTAATCACATTTTAGAGCCAGAATGCATGCTGAATGAATGTGGATTGGTAAAATGAAGTGTGTGTATTTTTATTTTTTATATATATTTAAT